GAACTTAATCTCCAAATAAATTTCATTCACAGCGAAACTGTGAAAAACATTATAAATGACATGAAAAAATTTGGTAGAGCAATACCCATCTCCATTGAATTGTGTAATTATTGCATTACTGGTTATGAAAAGGTAGGTGCTATTGGAATTTTATAATATATTTGACAAAGAATATACCTGATTATAACGAAAAATCATACTCCCACAATGCAAACATTATTATAAATACTTGGAACTACCTACTTAATACTCAGTATAATTTATCAATTATTTTCAATAGCAGTATGAACACTAGGTACAATAGATAACAAATTTAATGAACAAGGAATATGGGTGAGACAAAATATGTGGTTTTCAATGAAGAATAGGAATCATTTGAAGTCATAAAAACTTACAATTTACAGGCTGTAGAAACAAAAATGGCTGCCTATTTATAATTTTCCAATTTCTTTTCGTCACACTTTCATCTGGTAGGAAAAACTCTTCATTGTTCAAAAGTTCCCACAACTATAAATCTTCATAACTTGGTCGTGAAGTTATATAAAAACTGCAGACGGTGATTTTTATTATCAAGTTATAAAAACGAGAAGTCCGATCTGTCACAAATTTATAACACTAGACACTAATATTAACCTCAAATCCGTCAGACCATCATTAAGTCGATACTTTGTTTGCTTCAGAAAATTGGAAAAATTCAAATTCTCACATTGAGAAATTGATATTTTAGTAAAATTTTGTGCATAAAATTTTCCAATAAATTTGTCACAAAAGAAGAAATTACAAAACCCCACCCTCAGAAAAACAGTTTTTACTTTCATCAAGGAGTGGTAATGGTAAAGCAAACTATCAACACATCAAATTATTGACAACTGACGTGATCTGCCATCTGACGTTTCAATCCTGTCAACTGTATGTAGAATACAGTGTTGCCAATGCTATTACGTTCGTCTCAGCTAGGGTCCCTTGATGGAAATAGGTCGCGTGCACGATGACCGACCCTGGAGGCAAAATATTGAAACACAACCTCACTATTCTGTGAATTATTGAAACACAACATCACTTTTTTATTTGCTACAGAGGAATCAAAAGGTTGAAATAGTTTTTCACAATATTATGGCATACGAATCGTCTTTCTTGCGTTATTCATTGATTCAAGCATGCCTTCGCATTGTGCTGTTGTACAATGCACAAAAAATGTAGCAAGAGACTAGGGAATATGATTTTTCAGGTAAATAGTAATCTCACATAGTTATCATTATGAAATGATGTCATTCCTTATTAAAATTATTTCTGCCTTCTGCCACTTCTGCAATACAAGCTAATACTGCTAATAGATTGAAAATGTCAAAACACACACGATCGTCAGCATGTCAGACGAGTCCTCCCGATTGATTGCATGAATTCAATCTTCTTGCATTATTCTAGAAATTTCAGGTATATTTCTATTAGCTCCTATTGCAGAAGGAATTCCGATGAGAAATCAGAGAAATAACCAAATTTCAAAAATGAAAACAATATGTGAGTGACTATAGTATAGGTACTTACTTTTAAATCATAATGTACCATCCGGATTCCTTCATCTTCCGCTGCAGTTTTTGTGCATTTTACAACAGCACAATGTGATGGCATTGATGAATAGCGGAAAAATACTGTAAACAAATAAGAAAAGTAACGTTGTTTCAATGTTTTGCTTCCAATGTCGGTCATCTGACAGTTCTTGCACGAAACCCATTGTCATAATAAAGTCATCTTAACAGGGTACATCTTAAGGTTAGTTCCCAATGCAGCTTTTTTGCTTTTCGCGTCACGCACTATGATTGGTGACGCGAAAATGAGAATTACTGCACTGTTTTTCATTTTTTACTTCAGTTCCCAATGAATTCACCTATCCTTGTCGATGTGGTCGAAGTTTGCACAGAAAAATCATGAGAATATCTGAGAATACTGAAAATATAGAATAATGCTTGCAAGATATACAGAGCTGCATCAGATCAGTAATTCATCAAAAAACGAAAATAGCATATTGAAGATGAGATGATCAGATAGGTTCATACTTCAGAGATACTGCAATGATTTTCCCATCATAAGATCACTTTCTTAAATGATATACTGCTTCAATGGTTATTAAGGTTTCTGGAACATAACCTCAACGCAAGACAAGTAAAATATTTTTCAAATTCAGCGTCACCAATCAGGTTGCATGACGCGCGACGCGTAAAGCAAAAACGCTGCATTGGGAACTCACCTTTACAGGGTACATTTATATACCAGTCATGCGCATGAATCGAAGAATCCATGCGTGTTTTTCTTTTTCATTCCATCGAAAAAAGTGCGCACGATAGATGCGGTTTTTTGACGTGACGTCACCAATTGTTCTGTTGGAATTTATGCTGGAAGGATTGAACAATGGTTTATACAACACTTTGATGGAAACACGGATTTTGTTGTGTGTCAGTCATCATGTATCTTGAGAATCAGAAAAGGCTAAATCGACTTTATTGATTAACACTGACTCTTTCTTCTAAAATCTCTCAAGAATCTCAAAAATCCTCAATTCAAATCCAATATTGATTGTTTTCTATCAAATCGAAACAAAAAACAACACTAAAATGTGTCAACTGTCATGTCGATCTCCTCCAAACTGCTGGATTCTCGAAATGCGATTTAAAAGTGCGCATTTTATTACAACAGTTTGATGGATGTCCATCAACATTCCAGCGGAATTTTGCAACAGTTTGATGGTTACTTCGATTCATGCGCATGATAAAATGTTGTAATGAAAAACGCACCCTTCCGCTGGAATGTTGTTGGAAATCCATCAAACTGTTGTAATAAAATGCGAACTTTCAAATCGCTTTGCGGGAATCCAGCGGTTTGGAGGAGACTGACATGACAATTGACACATTTTACGTATTGTTTCCCGTTGTTAATTGAAAATATAGAGGAATTTTTGAATTTTGAGATTGTTGAGAGATTTGAGAATAAGTCTTAATCAATAAAATGGTATCATCTTCTTCTAATTCTGAAGATACATAACGACTGACACACAACGAAATCCTTTTTTCCATCAATGTGTTGTATAATCCATTCTTCCATCGTTCCAGCATAAATTTCATCAGAACAATTGGTGACGTCACGACAAAAAACCGCATCTATCAATGCGCACTTTCTTCGATGGAATGAAAAACACGCCCAGTCCATATACGTATTAATAAACAATACGGATCATAACGGGTGCCAGGATGAAGCCAAAAATATGAATATCCATAAGGATTTGGTAGCATGATACGCATGCGCCATGCGCTATTATAGTAGTCATCAAAGACATGCGTTTCGGTGGACAATGACGTTTACTAGCCTTTCTATCAAAGCAGTATGTGTCTGATCGTTTCAAAACTTTTCCTTATGGATAGTCATTTGTCTTCAAAAATCGGCTTCATGATTCGCTATGGAAACAGATAGAGATTATCCGTATTGATTATTAATACGTATATGGCCACGTCACTCTACAATTTCTTTTTTATTGATCTAGAGACTTAAGTTTTGTCTACTGGCATCCCTGACATTGCTGTCACATCACATGCATGGGCGCTACAAAAAATCATTCAAAATCCTAATAAGGAATATGTACACACGGTATTTACTTGTTGAGGAAGATCATATGGCGAACGAGTTTTGTGATTATGATCTAGCGAGAGCAATGGTTCCGTCGATCTCCTACTAGATGGCGACATTGCACAATTATGACATCTGTCAGTCTCAAAATTGTCGCAGATTTTTCGAATTCAGAGTTGAATAATCCCATTGTTACATATGTTCTGCGTACCTAAATGACATTTGTCATTTTACTTCCACTCGTCACAGCAGCAACAAGGTTGGTAGAACTCATGACTATTTTGTATACAAATTATAATCAGTTCTACCAACCTTGAGCAGCAATAGCAGCATCACCATCTAGCGGGAAAACGTAGAATCAACGTCTCGCTCGTTGTGAAGTAGAGAAATCATAGTAGGCGGTCGAGTGATTTTTCTGAAATTTTCAATTCGTAATAACAATGAACGCACCATATCTTACTTCCATTATTCTACTCTCATAGTAACTTACTCTAGGAAAGAAATATATTTTAGGATAATTTTTCATAAATCCCGTATGGACCCATGTATTTTCTGGCACAATATTCTGTACAAGAATCAAGATTGCAACTCGAAACGTCCCACTTCCTGCATTTATTCTGAAGGAATTTCTTATTTCAAGTTGCAATCTTGATTTTTGTACATTGTACATAAAGAAATGCGTATGGTCTTTATTACCATTTTGTTCACTTAGGTATTTTTTTCGGAAAATATACTTTCGAAAAGCAGAGTTAGGTCAGATTGTTAGAAGTAGCCTACTTTCTAATAATTATAATATTATTCTAACCATAAGCGAATTATCCCAGAAAGAAAATAGTTATTTGTTTAACTAGGCAGCAAAGTAGTAGCTAAGGCAGTCAATCTACTTTACTGCCGAGTTGAACATATAATTTTTTCTCCGATTGTTCATAATGATATATATCTCTTTATTTTTCCTGTAAAGTTCAATTAGAATAAAATTTCATAGAAATGGCAGGTTTTGGAATGGTTGGTTGCTATGTAAATGTCTATAATAATTATAGTTTGACAATTCATGAAATTTCTGACAGTTGTGCGAAAAAATATCGGAATATTCAAATTGTTATATAATGGACAGTGAGAGCGACCTGGAAGTACTTACACCTCCAGAAATGAGGGAGGTGGCAAAAAATATAGAGTTGAATTTGTTGCCGGAGAAGTCTCGGGATGAAATATAAAGGAAATTATAAATGATTTCTGGATTATTAATTTTGCTGATACATATCAATCAGCAAAGTAACCACTTTGCTGCCTAGGCAGGAAATCTCCTTCCTTTTCCTTGCCAATTCAAAGAGCCACGGACGAACACTTTACGAGTAGACCATTGTCTTAATGTCAATATCTCAATGTCAATGTCAAGATTTGCTGGGAATTTCAAATTTCACAATATTGTTAGGTTATGTTATGGTGTATGGTCATGATTATTATGATAGAAAAATAAATTGAAATTTAATAATTAGGTATATTAGTAAATATATAGGTATTCCAAATGTGGCCAATCTTGTTCAGAGCATTAAGAACATATGCTCCTTACATAACGCTTCCCTTTGCAGGGGTAGTTGGTGTTATAGGGTACAACTTGGAGAACTGGTTTTCTGATAAATACACACCATATAATAGTAAGTTTACACTTTCTACACTCAAAATCTTCCTGTTGATCAATTTGTATGGAAAAAACTCGGAAAAAACAGAATTTTCCATAAAAAAATTAGTTGAATCCTCGGTTCTAGCCACTTTTTAAAAAGTCACATTTGTTTCAGAAGTGGAAACAAATTAGAATAATGCCTGATCATTTTCTTGATTTTTTTTTAATGTAATTTTGATCATAGGAAGACCATTATACTTCAAAATATGGAGGTTGGTTACACTTGAATTGGGCACACTGTATATTGTAATCTAAATCATCTGACCATTTGTTCTTTCTTCCTGTATGAAATAACTATTTCTGTTGAGCCATACAGAATAAAAACCGATGGGAACTAAGAAGTATCTGATCTTTAAACATTAAAGACATGGAAATGATTTGGCAGGCATAAAATCAAAACACATCTTTTATATAATTCAATTAATTGTACCTATTCATTTGTCTCAAAGAAATGTTTAATCATTTGTTTCTGTTCAATTATGTGAAAGTATTTATGCTGTACCAATAAAGTTGTAACTATTTACTGATACTTGTATAATTGTTTTGTATTCTTGTAGGTACTGTTTAAATTGTTTTAGTATTTTCATTATCTGTGCTGACACTGCTGACATGTATATTCTATGTATTAATAATACAAATAAGAATACAACATTCACTACTCAGAAAATATTGTTGTAATAGTATGCCTATGCAAGTTTCTATTTTGTGTCAAATATCTCGAAAAATGTTCATTATAGCTCAGTTGAAAGGCCCTTTCAGGCAGGGCGAAAGGGGTGCGATTTTTCAATAAAATCAAACAGGGAATATGAGAAATTGAGAATACTTATCAAAACTTCATCAGGGTGTATAAAATAAGAAAGTAAAAGTTACCACAAACCTCCTTACATAAATTGTCCGGAACGCCTCTCTAGTAAAAAATTGACTCATTTGAGGATGAAACGAACCGAATTTGAATGCAAAACATTTAACCGTTCATGAGTTATTGCGAAAAAAACATTTTTATTTCTTAAACTCAACACCCTGTATATGGAGAAGTAAACAGTTGAAGCCATATGTCTAAACCTTAGTCTTTATACAATCACGTGGGCTATCACTGACAACACAGTTGAATTTCTAAACTACCATCTGTTATACAAGTCAAAATAAGTTGATTGGACCCAATTTATTTATACCTATAACGAAACGTACCGTTTGTCTGTGAGACGAGTTCAAAGTTTACAAAAAAAAACACATTTTTGTACATTGTTTAAAAATTATTGAAACAAATTGGGTGATATTTGACGAATATGCATTTTGAAACAAAAACCTATTACCACCCCTAAGAATGTTCTGAAAAAAATGTCTGGGGGTGAGGGTGGTTTCAACCCATCTACAATTTCTTTCAGGTTTCTTTGATAACTGAAAGAGGGGTTATCCTCTGAAATGCACTTTCGTCAAATTTCATCCAATTTGCACTCGTTTTTGAACAGCGCACAAAGATATGTTTTTTTATGGGAACTCTGAACTCGTCTCACGGACAAATGGTACATTTTTTATACATATAAGGTGGGTCCAATCAACTCATTTTGAACTGTATTAAGTACACGTGATAGCTCTGTGTCCCAGCAATTTTGGGACACCCTACAAAATTGGAGGTCTTTTTGTCATAATAAAAAAAAAACTTGATACAAATGCTCCTGATGCAATTTGTCCTAATATGAGACTTTTGAAATGTTCGGTTCTGGCAATGATTTGATCCCCAAGTATAATTTGAATAAAAAAAATTACTAGTTTTTCTGAATTACGCTTAATCATTTGTTACTCATTATCATTATTTTTCTTTGGCGCGTACTCTATGCATCAGCGGAATGATTGGACGGCTTCGGAACTGCAGGAACCAGTTGCTTGATTCGGCTAGTCGATTGTCATCCAATGCGCTATCCCGTGTCTAATAAACCACTACAGAAACTCATTCTTGTTTCGTTCACTATTACATCTCGGACTAGAGAAATGTATTTTTTCTCCAATCGGCATAGAAAGTGGGTTTTCTATGACACTTAACAGGTTCGAAAGGTGTTTTTTTTTCTGCCTAGGCAGAAAATAATTTGAATGAAATTGGTAATCAAAATTGACACTGACATTGGGAGAACACAAAAAGGTGGAGTTTTCATTCAACAGTTATAACTTGAAACCTTGAAAAGTCTTGAAACTATTTTATTATCAGGAATAATTGGAAGACATTTGAAATGTAAGTTATCATTGACTACCATGTCATTTGAATCCTCTTCAAGATCGATCCCTTTCGACATTTTTCTGTTTAGATAACTTTGGTTGCTGCCAATAGAGAGTTGAAGATTACAAGCGAGCACGTTAATAGTAATCTAATCGGAAGGTTCCTCTAGTATGAGATTTCAAACATTATCTAGCTCCATTTTATTTTGGAGGTATATATTACGTTGATATTTCCCATAATTAATTGAATGAGAATTATAAAACATTTTGATGTGAAAAATCTGTCATATTTCTATGGACCATTCCGATCATCCTGTACATAGGTATTTAATTTTTGCAGAATCTATCGAGGAACAAAGGCGGGAAAGGTTGTTGGACGAAGAAACATTACAAAGGACTGGAGATATTGAGAAATTGAAGTATAGTGCCAATGTACTCAACACTAATGTTTCACCTTCCTTATCATAAATGATGATCAGTCATAATATAAGCTACTGTGATGTAATAGTTGAATAAATTAGCAGATTATAGTAGGAGTCTTGTGATGAAGAATTAAATTATTTAATCTCAGTGTTTTGTATTATACTATTGCTTGCAAAAGAAAATGTGAGCCAAGAGCACAAAATTAAAGTTGCGGACAGCAACTCTCTGTCAATTTAAAAACGGAATCTCCAGTGCTCGCTAGAAATTATGGTATCAGTTAAAAGATAGTCTGTCATATTTTTCATCACTAGATGAAATCTACAAATCGGGATGAATGTCTATGATTCAACGTCATGCTCTCACTTCGGTAGAGTTTTTTGGTTATTCGTACTCATATAACAGGGTAACTCACGGTCGATGGTACGTTAGACGTTTATGGAGAACGGGACTTAGGATCATTCTGAAATTTTGGTTACTCACGTAGTTGCTCTTGGTCTATCGATCTAAAATATTTTCAGCTCTGCAGCGTTGCCGCTTCTATCGAAAAGTAGCAACAACTTTGTTATTTTAAATGGAACACCTTTTATTTTATTGCATTTTCAGATTCTCTCTGAAGAGCTGATTTCATCGATGTATCACACTTGGGGTCTAGCGGAAATGATTACAGAGATATAGGGTGTGAAAAATCGACATTTTTCAACTTTAGGAATTTTTTTTGTCGAAACTATTCATTATTGGTCAAAACGGCTCACATGTCCCTATCTCAACTTTTGATCAACTATCTTGATGGCAAAAGTTTACTTGAGATCACTTTTGTTGGGTCGAAGAGACAACCTCAATATGTTTGTGATGGATTAAAATGAAATTCATGACAAAGGAATTCTGAAAAAATACTCATATCGTACATAACCTGATATTTTGTGCAGTAAAGTAATATTTTGGACTATCGATATCATACATATTTATTCGAGGCAGATTTTTTTTTATCGCTTGGTGCACACAAATGAGATTCCTTATAATGTCGTGCTTACCTAGGGAGTATAGGGAAAGGAGGTAGGTTTTTGAATTTTTTTGGGTTCGAAGAGACGACCTGACAACCAGACAAGATGAAAGTCAGATATATATACCCATGCATATAGCATATGTACGTCTAATGAATGTCCAACGGATGTACAAAGTGGACGTCCATAGAAAGTTTAGCCAATAGTCATGTAGGGTAGAGGGCCCTAAGATGGCGAACTTAATGTTTGCGGTCCAATTAAAACTTTATTTCGTTATGATATTCAAATGACTAATGAATATTTGAATCAGTTTTGATCAAAATCAAATCTGATCTTTGTGGCTAGTAATTTTTCATTGAAGAAAAAGACGTGATTGTTATCTTACCCGCTTTTGCTGACAAGATGACGAACGACGTATGTGGGTATAAGTTGACAAATATGGTAAAAATACCATGACAATACATTTGAACATTTTAATAATTTTTCTTAATAAACAAGAGCCAAAAGGGCGAACAAAAAATTAAAAATTATGACTTAATTTTGATCACGACAAAAATCGCACACCCACACTTTGGCTTCTGCTTCTTTCAAATGCAGTCCAGTGCATTCTACGGCTCTACGCCTGTTGCCCGAAACCCGTTTATAGCATTCGCGACGGTTGCTACTTTTAAATAGGCCTTTCTTCCCAAAGATTGAGTCAATGTGTAATGGCTTTTCCAGGATTGTTTGTCAAAAATTCATCACAAGCCCTACTATATGCTGTTTTAAGGGACCATACACAGATACATCCAATGGTTGCATTCAGTGACTGGTGTGTGGGGGAAATCCAAAAAGAGAAATATAATCTTCCCTGCACAATGTTACACCATCACGGTAACATGGTTTGCATGGTTATCCATTATTAACAAAACCCTCTGTTGTTTTCGCTAGGACGAGCGTATTGGATAAAATGTTCCAGATATTTTAAAAAATTTGCAGATGTCATCCATCCGGTTTCACGTGCAATACCTGCCAATCCTGCAGGTGCGTTGTTCAAACTCTAGGAAAAATGAAGAAAGGGGAATAAATGTCCCACTTGCATCCATCGCGCATACAGCAATCACATGTTAGTTCCTCGTTCCGCAGAAGATATCTTAATTACTCTTCGCTTGCCTTTAGGGGTAATTTTCCTGGGATTTTTTGTGACAACTGTTGATACACCGGTTTCATCCACGTTGTGATTGGGTTGCAAATTATATTTTTCTTTGAGTTCCTTAAGAGAACGTTAAAAAAATTTAAAACACTTCCCATAAGGCATGTCTTCCAGGAGGGTCCCCTCAACACAATCTCCATGATTCGTTCGAAGGTGGCCGGAGCATTGCAGAGTCCGAAAGGCATAACCTAGAACTGCCATAATCCAGTGCCGATGGTGAAAGCTGTCTTTTCCTTATTTGCCAAATCCATTTCCACCTGCCAATATCCTTTCAGGTCCAGAGTGGAGAAAAGATTCGATTCCGCCAACGTGTCGAGTGTGTCGTCAATTCGAGGCAAATGATAGCTGTCCTTCTTCGTCACGTTGTTCAATCGGCGATAGTCCACGCAGAAACAAGTGTTTCCATCTTTCTGCTTTACTAGGACCACTGGTGAAGAGCAAGGACTATTGGATGGCTCGATTACCCCGTCTTGTTCCATATCCTGGATGATCTTTTCAATTTCTTTCTTGGCCTGTGGTAATCTTCGAGCTGGTTGACGAATCGGTCTGGTATCCCCCGTATCGATTTCGTGACTGACGATGTTGGTTATACCTATTTTTGCATTGGCAGGTATGAAGATGGATCTATACCTTAGCAGTAACTCGGTTAACTTATTCTTTTGTCGGTTGTTGAGTGAGTCGCCTGCAGCAGAAACGAGTTCTTCATACTTGCCGGCCTTATCGGTGGTTGCCACTCGTCACAGGGTAATTATTTATGTTGATTAGTCGAACAGGTACATGGTTCCAGGGTTCCATGATGATGGGACGCTGAGCTGTTATCTGTTCCGAGATCTTCTGCTGCTGAGACGTCATCTGTTCCGAGATCCCGGCCAACATCGATTCTGCTGAAGCTGGTTTCTCGAAGGTGAACGTCTCTGGATCTTTACCCACCTTACCATATGCTCTTTGAGACGATGCTGTAGTGTCGCCTTGATCCCTGTTGTATTGAGATCTCTCCCCTCCAACTCACGTTTCAAGTCCACTACTTCTGACACCGATTGTTACGTTATTCGGGTGCAGAAGCGAACACGACACTATTTATTTTCGAAATGATTTATTTTAACTAAAGGAACACAAATTTATATCGAACTTATAACTATTATTTATGTAAAACGATTTATATCTCGCGGTATATGACTGTCTCTCTGACACTCGCTGCTTGACTGACTGACGGCAGTTGCCAGGCCGTCCTTATATATCAGATCCCTTGGCAGGCTTTGCTTCTCGAACGATCTTCCGTACCCTTCATTTGTTCTAGAATTTTCTAGAACAATATCTCTATCTATAATTGTCACATCGATTTTTTCGAGATTATTCCAGATTCTTTTGTCAGGTTATGTGGCGCCGTGACACATATTGGGTGTTCGGAAATACGCTGGTACATGTAATAATCATTGGGATGTTCGAGAGTGATCCGGGACGCGTGTTACTGTGTGATCGTTGTACCCCTGCCTTCCTGATGATGTTCTATAGGAATATTCTGAAAAGAGCAAGGAAATGTATAGATCAAAATGGAGGCCACTTCGAGAATTTGTTATGATTTTCATGTTTCAAGTTGACTGTGTATATTTTTGGGTTCATCGTTGTAATATTTGAGGAAATAAAGTTGTTTCAACAGTGTTATTATTATGTCGATTGTTTTGTTGAACTCTTTCCACAAATACATAAAGAATGTTCTGCAGCGAATTTTTCAGGACATACAGATCGTTATTCGAAATTATAACATCAAAACAATAGAAATATTGAAATATGTGAATCCACATACAGGGTGCATGGAAATATGTCTCAAACAAATAAATAGGTACATGAATGAAGTAAGGACCTGTGAATATACACTGGCCCGTTCCACAGGCATAAAAATGCAGACAACGACTATGAAATGGAATAAAATGAGTTGTAAAATTGCAAAATTTTCATAATTCGATATGAAAAACGGAAAATATTCCGTTTTTAGCTATTGAAATTCACAAATCCTTCATTGCAGCTTCAGAAATTCAGTAGTAAAATAGCATGCGGAAACATAAAGAGTACACAAATCCATTCAACATTTTGTGCTCTCTTCAGATATGTAAGCGGATTTTGTAAATTCAAACATACAGGGTGTTTTTTCGAGGACCCAATAATATGTTGAATTTTTGTTAATCCGGGCCTGGATTTTTTTTATGACGGATATACAAGTCGCTTGGGTAGCAGTAGGAAAACATGTCTACCAAATATCAAAAAAATATACCAGGTGGTTCGTATGCTATGAGCGTTCAAAGAAATTACCAGAATTGATAAAACACCCTATATCTCGATAATGAAACATGTAAGACCCAACATATATGGTATATTCAGAACCACCTTGGTCACCTCTATCCACCGTTGAAGTATTTCCGTTTCCCAACGGAACACCCTGTATAAACGTTTAAAAACATGAGTCATCATTGTTGTGTACCTCATTGTTCATCTTTAGCAAAAAAATCCCGAGTATAGCTTTCATTCCTTTCAAAAATCAGGACAGTCTAAATTTGTACTTGAAACTAATAATTTGGGAAACAAGGAAGTGATCGGTAGGAGAAAGGTGTGGATTCATAACTTGAAGATTGGACAAAGTGTAAAGTGTCTGAACATAATGAGATATTGTTCTTTACACTTCACTGAAAATTTACTCATACCTATAGGTATATTTTCAAATGTATGTCTATTATGAATATAATACCTACTTCTTGAGGTGGTGGTAAAAGAACAAACAAATTCCAAACTGATTATATCTTTACTCATGAACAGTAGAATTTTTCAACAGTAAAGAATGTTATCAATCAGGGTTTCGATGATTATGTTGTAAAAAGTCAAGTAGAAACTGTTTACCTAAATTCACCTTCCAAAGAACACTTTATTCCCAAAAATTTTGCTGGATTTTGTTTTAAAAACAT